CTGCGGGCGTGGGAGACGAGCGGGCCGCCCCTCGCAGCCGCAGGAAGCCGGAGGTTTCGCTCGAGATCCGCTTTCCCTTGCTCGGGGCGCTCTGCGGGCCTGGGGCGCGCCTGGCCCCGCGGGCCGGAGCCGGCCTGGGGGTGTCTGGGGGGGGAGGCAGGTCTGCAGGGCTGCGTGCACCTTTGAGTCAACTCAAAAGTCCCAGCTCAGTGGAAGAGTGTTTTCTGGGTGCTGTCAGAAACTTTCTGCACAGAAAGTTGGTAGACCCGACCCAGCACATCGGTTTTTCTCTTTCACAATGTAAAACATCCCCACTTTCAACTTGAAAGGAGGGGAAAGAGCTCCCTCCCTGGCACACTGGGGCACGAACCCTGAATGGCAGGGAACCTCAGCTGCTTAGCAGCCAGAGCAGTGCCTTTTAACCTGGAACTGACTCGATGTGTTTTACCAAACAGGCACTCACCTCTTCTTGAGGCCAGTGTGTTTATCAGGGCCCCCCCGCCCCTCAAATTCGGGGCCCCTTGCCTGTCTGCCTTCAACCTGCTGGTTATCCCGCCCGCAATGAAGGACGAGCTTGGCAGCGGCGAGAGCCCTGTGTTTTTTAGAAGTGGGATCAGTTGTTTTCTCCTCCCTCATAATCCCTGGTGGTGACTGCTGACTCCTCGGACCCCTTTTGAACTGCCCCCATTCTGGCTGTTCTGTCCAGGGCGTCAGCAAGCATTTCCATGAGGCTGGGAGCCCACAGATGCCCATTGTCCACCTGGCCTCCGGCCTCTGGAGGCAGCTCGGGTCAGGATGCCCCGGCCAGCCAGCAGGAAGAGCAGGGCTGTGTGTGTTTCCTGAAACTCTGGTGTCCTGGGGCCCTCCGGAGCTGTTCACTACGTTGTCAACAATCAGATTTTCTGGACTGCAGAGGATCTCTCTCTCTCTCTCTCAAAACCTTCTAACCCTTATTCCAAGTGTGTTTTTGCTCTTCTCTTTGTAGCACATATTAGATATAATTGAATCCTTTTGATGACTAAGGACTGTCGTTATGAGCATCATTAATGGAAACTGAGCTGGATCCTCGCCCTAAAGGAATCATGACTGTGCTGTCAGATAAGCCACCAGGTTGTAATGAGCTAAACACTGAGTGACCTTCCTTAGGCTGTTGTGGTTTTGGGTTCTTCAGTCTGACCAACCTTGAGCTTCCTGGTCCCAACTTCAGTGCAGTTTCCTTTCGAATGTCCTGTGAATGAGGGCTTCCCCCTAAAGTGACCCCCAGAAGGCTGGTACCTGCACACGGTGGTCTGTTTTCTTCTTGGTTCTTGGCCATATTGTAGAGACAGATAAGATTGCTAAACAGTGGAGTGCTGGACCTGTGAGCTTGTATCATACAAGTTGTTATTAAATCCTTAAATGAGACTTATTACATGGTTTCATGAAACAAGACATTTAACATACCTGCAGATGTCCAGCACATATTGTGTAACTTCATAGATATTCTCTGTTAGCAAAATTATTTGAGACATTTTTTCCCCTGCTATTGTCATAGGTTACAATGGACATTTTAAAACACTTGCAAGGCCTACAAATTCTTTTGGGGATGACATCGCTCTCTAAATATTTCTGCCTTTAACTCATATATCTTTCTAGATGCTTCTGTCGTTTCTTACTCCATCAGCTCTATTCACACTCAGTCATGAATAACGTAGAAATCCTGACACATGTCCCAGCAGACCTACCCTTCTGAATTTAGAGATGTTGTTAGTAGTAATTGTGGCTTTTGCTGTGTCTAAGAGCCATTCTGTTCAACTGATTTAGGTTCTACTGAAGATATTAATTTGAATTGGCCTTAGAGCACATGAGCTTCTAAGCCAGGAACTACATGGAAGCTCTCACTTTCTAGGTTTGTGGTATTTGAGACTGCTACGAGCAGGTGTTGGCAAATGAAATTTTAGTTTATTGATGTTTTGCTTGAGCTGTGGGGCCCGCCCGTGTGTCAAGGGTAGAGAGATGAGAACCTGGAAAGCAGTTGAGAGGGAAAGGCCAGGAGATAGAAGGGAAACCAATAAAATATGGTTCCGGGAATCCAAGGGAAGGAAGTGTCTCTAGGAGGGGTGATCAGACGTGTCAGATGCTGCCAAAAGATCAAGTAAAACAGGAATTGAGGATAGGATATTGTATTAAGCAAAATACAGTTCTTTGGTAATCTTGACAGAGACAGATTTGGTGTGTGCTGGTCAGACACCCGATTGGAGAAGAGAGCACAGGAAGAGAGAGGAGACAGTGAGCATAGATCTCTCTCCGAGAGTAATTTGGCTGTAAATAGAGCGGAAAAATTGGGTCGTGGCTAGTGGGGGAAAGGGGTTAAGAAAGGATTATTTTCTTATCACATAGAATTCTTATTTTACACCTATCCAAAGAGCTCTTTTAGATTGAGACAAATTTTACCATGGGGGCACTCCTGTCTACATGTGTATATGTGGGAAAAAGAAATACGTATATATATAAGAAAATAGAAGTGACATAAACTTACTGTGTTCCTGAACTCCTCTTCACTCAGACTGCTACTCTTCTCAGTACCATTTCCTCTCAGTCATTGATTTCCATTGATTAATTTTCTTTCACATAATCTTTTATTCTGAGTACCAAAGGTTGGTGATGCAGCATTTCTAAGAGAATACACTACTGTTGTCGCCAAGATTTCTTTCCAAGCTGGGGTTGGGTTTATGATGCTGTTACTGCTTTTTACAAAAAATGTTCAAAAGAACTGTATTCTGCTCTACATAACTGCACATAGTTTTAAAAAATTATGGTTCTATTAATTTCAGCATTAAGGGGTACATTCCAAATACATGGCTGTACCCCCTGCCCCTCAGACAAGGTGGTGCTGTGTGAGGCCGACTGGGGGACACTGAGGCGAGGCGTAAAGGATGCGATTGTCCAAAATGAGTGGTGCGCTGGTCACACTTGTAGTCAGTTCAGAGTAATGTCGGTATTGCCTTTCTTCTCAGAAGTCAGTTAGCTCTTTGCCATTTGTTAGTTTGTTCTCTTGGATAATCTGCCAGCGTTGTGTGTGTGTGTGAGAGATTAACTAGATACCCAGCAAGTGTGCTGCTCCACCTCCACTGTTACAGTCACTGCCTGGGTGGAGGGGTGAGGGTTGTGTGGCAGACTTCGCTGGGGACAGCTCGCCCACACCAGGTGGAGGGTGAACTGGGTGGGAGAGAACTGGGTCCAAGGAAGACGGCAGCTGAACTTCAGTCGGGAGGGTGAGGCCAGGGGCAGGGTGGAGAGGCCGGATAGAGAGGAACAGGACAGGTTAAGGAGAGTGAAGAGCCGCTTGGGCCCTGGCTGGCCGGTGTGGCTCTGTCACTCGGGCATCATCCCCAACGCAGAAAGGTTGCCGGCTGCGGGGACAGGGCTTTGGGACCCTTAGAGCAGTGGGCGTGGGAGGCACATCCAGGCTGAGTCTCAGGCTGCAGGCTCGGGTGCTTTGGGAGGCGGGGCGAGGCCTAGAGAGGAGGTTCGGGGTTCAGAGGGAAAGGAACACAGCAGTTTGGATGCGGAGTTTGCAGTGAGTAGCAGTGGCCTTTGTATTCTCAGTTTCAAGCATCCCTTCCTGCTGCTTCCTTTCTAGCTTATCCTACGAACCCAGCGGGCGTTGCAAGTCCTGGTCCTACCCCCTCTTCAATGCCCGCACGCCTTCATCGCCCCCTACTCAGCTTAAATACCGTAGCCCCTGCAGTTCCCGTAGCCTCTCCTGCCCTGTCCAGCTCTCTCCTGACGCCCTGAATTTGGCCGCTGACCCGATGGAGGAAAGCCCACACCACGCCAGCTCTTCTTACTTTACCTTCGTGACGCCTGACCTCGAGTGGGCAGCCCAGGCGACCAGCCACCCGATTAGAACATTTCTCTAGACCAGTCGTGCTCGTAGTATGGGCTGGGGACTCCGGGCAGTGCCCGGGATGCCTTGAGGAGTTCCACGAGGTCAAAACTCCTTTTTATAATATGAAGATTCACACTCAGGTTTTCTCACAGTGTGTGGTGGAGTTTTCCCGAGGCTGCACCATGCTGCTGCTGTTTCATTGCTGTGACTGACGATGGATTACGTGCTCCTGTGTATCTTAGATTTCTCTGTTCATATGTTAAACGTTGATGGATATAACCCCCATCGACAAAAGTTGCTGAAGATTCTCAGTAATTTTTTTTAAAGAGTAGAGTGG